TGTTTCAAGTGAGTGGAAAAGATTAACAGACATATGCAGAAATCTATTAATAGTTTTTTCCACATTATATTAAACTAATTTAAAATTTAATGTGAGATCTTTGAATGAAATGTTTATAGTTTTACAAAATGTAAATTAGACATTTGTGAAGAACTCATGCAATGCTTATTATTGCATGTATAATATCTATAAGGCAGTTTTGGCCTGAAAAAAGGTGTTAATGTAAAAAAAAAATACCCACATGATTTATGTATTAAAGTGCTTTGCTGCAGCTCCTCCTGTCACTTTCTTTTTGAAGTTTTCATTGTCTACACTTGTCTCTTGAAATCCCCCTCCTGATCAACTAAATACTGATTATTCAAAAATGCTGGCTTGACAGAAAGAAACACCTTCTTAAATTGAAACATGTAAAAAAAGAAGTCACACTTAGGGAAAGCAAATATGAAAGAAAACCAAAAATGTTTGCCATTTTATAACAAAAAAGCATATTAGCCATGCACTTTCCCCCCTCATCTGCAGTTTAGTGTTTTTTTCCTGCAATAACTCTACCTGTCATTGCTCATATTCAAAGCTGTCATATCTGTGTTAACACACGTGCATTGACAGCCAGTCAGTCTCATTATGGGGGAACAAAAGAAAAAATGTGACAAGAAAACCACAGCAACTTTAAAGACTTTCAGTTTAAAAAATGTTGGCAGGTTTTTAATAAGACTCCTGTCACACATATGGAACTGCTAATGTCTTAGACTGAAAGGTGTTTTTTTTCTTTCATTTTTTAGTCTGCAGCTGACCAGCACAGATACTGTACTTTAAACACAAATCTATATTATTGTACTTATCTTTACAGACTAAAAGACTATATAGAATACCAAAATCAGTCTGTTAATGATAAAGAATGTTGCAATTAAGACATAAAGTGAGACATAAAGTTTTCAATTGTGTTAAAGCTGTCATTAAATGAAAATAAATACTTTTTTCATGAACTAGAACCATTTTTGGTCACCTACCTTGTTTTTAATTCATAAAATCAAAGAACCTTTTTTTCTGTTCTTCAAGTCCTTGTTCTCAGGACCTTAAACAAACAAACAAACAAAGTACAGTAGATTCAGTGGCTTTCAGTTTAAACTTTTCAAATAATCAACCTGTAATTGTCAAAATCATCACATCATGCATCTCCACATAATCTTGTCAAACATGAAGATAGTTACCATTTGTTCCTTAAGAAAAAAATAAAGCAACATCTAGGTTAACATATGTCATTTGATTTATACTAACCAGTTACAAAATTACCAGATTCTTCACAAATGATTCTTTACTTACAATTTAGTAATTTGATACAAATCTTTACATTGGTGAAATGACCTCTGACCACCAACTTGAGCAGGGGTCTGCAACCGTTAAAATCAAAAGAGCCATTTCCGCTCCTTGGCTCGCTGATAAGATATGTCTAGTGCCGCAAAATGTGCTACAACTGTGTTTTTCAACTGGTGGCCCATGGGCCACTTGAGTTTGTTGAAGTGGGGGCCTTTAGGGCCGATGTGTGTGACATGTTAAACTAAAAATAAATGGTGAATTTGAATTTTTATTATTATTAATACACTTTAGGAAGAAATAAAGATCATGTTCACATAAACAAATATTATATATTGTATTGCAGTTTATACCAAATTTAATAAAAACTACAAGTGAACTTAATATATTTCTTCTAATTCTTATTATTTATTATGGTCTTAAAGGTATACTTGTAAAAAATGTCCTACTTTAAGTCTGTAAATTGAACTGAATGGGCTAACAGGCTACTAGCATTTAATCAGCTTGTTTCACTCTTGGTCATTTTGATCACATATTTGCAAACAAACGAACAGGAAAACTGCCTTTTTTGTTGTGAGTGTGTAAAAATAAATAAAATCTCTTGTTAGCTTTGGTCAAAGCTTCAAAGAGCTCCTGCAGAAGGACCAAAGAGAGCTTCAGGTTGCTGACCTCTGAACTAGAGAAACACTGGTGATGTTCTTATGACTGCTCTGTCCTGACAACTGAGAAGTCACTTGAGTTCAGGAGAAGCAATTGTGTTTGAACCGTGTTAGCAAAATACCTCACAAATCACTCAATGAACTTGAATGAAACTTTCAGACATTGGTTTAGTTTTGACGCCAAAAAATGTTCACAAGACCTAAGAAAGTTCTCAACACTGCTTAATACTATGGCACGAACTCCTAGTCAAGGCTGTTTATTTTATTTTATTTTTTTCTTAGTATTTTAGCTCATGAACCTGAATGGAGTTTGGTGAAACTTTACAAAAAATAAAATAAAATAATAAAAAAGATCAGCTACATCTACAACTGACAGACATTTAGAGTCAGTCCAATTCAAGGTGGTCACCAAAGGTAATCTCCTTTTGCCAACACAAAAATGGCTGTAATTTAGTTAAAATTACAGATAACAGCAGAGTTAGAGGGAGATTGTCAACACTTAATCCGAGCATTTCCGTTCTGTCATAAACAGTGGCGGGCGATCTGCATTCCGTCCAATAACTTTCTCAAAGGTTGGTTCTCCACGTCGGTTCCCCTCTCTGACCGGTAGAGGTCGCAGCCGAGCGGCCCTTGAGAGGAGCGGAGCGCATGGACTCATCAGATGCGCTCCCTCCCGCATGCCAAAGCTACAGAACGCCTGGGAAGCCGGGAGGGAGAGAACCGCAGCTTTGGGAGCAACACGACCACCTTTGCATGTTTACCTCCGACCGGGGCTCGGTTAGTCCTCAAACAACTTCACAAACTGTCCTGCTCCTTATATTACCGTGACGGGAAGCTCCTTTCTCCTCTCTCATGGTCTCCAACTGAACTTTATAGGGATGTCAGAGCATCACCGCGCTGAATGCTCAGATATTAGTGCTGAAGTATTTAAAGGAGGGATATAAAAGCGTGGAGGGAGCCGGATTTTGTCTTCTTGACGCACTTTTTTTGTTCGGGTTGACACAGAGAAGGAGAGGGAGAGCGCGTGTGTGCACGGGGGGAGAGAGAAATCGCACACTTTTTTTTTTCCTGGAGCTACGCGTTCATGCCTTCAGTCTTGCGGACTCTGAGATGGACGTCAGATTTTACCCAGCTCCCAATTCCAGCGTGGGTTCATGTACATTACCAACTGACTCCAGTCTGGACTATTACCATTCCAACAAGGTAAACAATTATCTCCAATTTCTACTCTTAAAGTCGGTGAATGTTTAGGTTCAGACATAGCGCAGAGAACTCCATTGATTTCACATAGATGCATGATCCGGCACTTTTGGTTCCCTGGGGAGAATGAAGTCATGAGTACAAGCTGCAATAGGTCATCTGCAAACTTTTTATTTATTTTATTTTTGCTTGTTTTTACTGACACCATGCTCTGTGGTCTTGCACGCGAAGTCTTCTTCAGCTGCATTTTGTAAATTTGGGTTTGTGTGAACTGTTGTGCCGCGTGAGTTGGAGCGCGCTGCTCTCTCGGAACTGCTGTTCCCCCCCCCCCCCCCCCCCCACAGATCAAACTGAACAAACACTGAATGTGAGCAGGATTGCGTTCCAGCTGATAACGTACTTCACCAAACTTCCCATTTTGACTGAAACTTATCTATTCTAATTGCGTAAAGGCGCTGTTATCAGCCTCGAACAAGTCCCCACATGATGATGACCAGTGCACGGTTAACCTAATAAACAATAATCAACATCTTGTTGAAATGTGGTTTTGACTTCGTGCTGTGTGTCTGGCCATTTGTGAAGATTTGTTTCTGCTCCATATCCGTTTGTTCTCTATTAGCAGTAGATGAAGAGCACAGAGCGTTGCGCGCTTGGTCTCCAGACTCCTGTGCGCAAAAATCCAACTTTTGCATTACGCAAACGATTGTTCGAGAAATACATTCTTCACTGCCAACCAAAAAACAAAATTCAAAATAAAAATGCTAGAGTGGACTAAAATGATGCCACGTTAATATCTTTCTTTTTTAAAATAGCAGGTTTAGTTTAACATCACTTTTAAGTAGTTGCCAAATTAACCAGGTTTTATGCAGTTTTTATTCCATCACATAAGGAAGAAGGATTAAAATGTTATTCAGTCATGACTGTTACGTTTAGTCCTATTATCCTGAGCTCCTCTGAGGAGCGTCAATGGGCCTATTGTATAATTGGACTGTTTCCATGTGGCACTCACAGTCACTGACACTTCTCTAAACACAAAACAAATAAACTTGCTTGCAGGCCCAGTGTAAAATTACAAGTCACTTAAGGCGGGTTTCTTTTCTCGTGGTCCAGGTAAAACTTGTGCAAACATTTGCCTGCACCTACACCGGGGAGAGTTGGAAGAAGGCATTACCCCAGATCCTCAGGCATTCACACGGTTTGCTTGCCTTAGCACCCCTGGAGGAAAGCCAGCAGGCAGTTAGATTTGCTGATGACAAAGTGATGCATGTGAAATGTTAGAGCTCAGTGCAATATTTAGATTGTTAATCTCTCCTGTTCACAGTCACCTGTGTGCGTTACACAGACTGTGGCACACTCGGACATGCACTCGCTTGCAAAGAGGTTTTGAAAATGCATTGCATGCATTGACTAAAGTTACCTCTGAACTCTTTATCACCAATAACATCAAAAACTGCAGTTGACTTATTTTTAATGAAATCGAAAACTAGCCGTTTAATAAATGTGGACTCAGACAACAGGGGTACCCTCATAAGTTGCAACTATCAGGCTTGTGTAGGCGTCAGTCTGTGCGTGTGTGTAGGTAAGGCTAACACACACAAGCGCATACAGTAGGCATGAAGAGCTTAGCTACAGGTGTTTATTTAGGATCATGATGGTGCCTGTCTTTCTCTGTCTACATTCGAGGAAATGTAGATTTAACACATTGAACCACTAATTATCATGATTTAGTGCCTACTGAGCAACATGCATTTGAGTCTGAAGGACAGATTCATATAACACTGTCATTAGCAATGTAACAGCTGTGACTAAGATGCAAAGTAGCACAGTACTGCCACTGTACTTCTGCTTTTGCACATAACTAAAAGAACACAGGAGCTTGTTTGGCAGAATAGTAGACTCATCTCAAAAGACCAGAACAAGTATTTAAAAATGAAATTTGCTAATAGTGAGGCTTGCAAAGATGGATAAAAATGATTTAAATGTTTTTTTTTTTATTTATTTTGCCATGATTTTTAGCCTATATGTGCAAAAGTGGAGCAAGGTAGAAAACCAAAGGTGTTGTTACACATAACAGCACAACATTAAAAACACCATTCAGGAAGTGAGCATAAAACAAAGTGAGACAATCAATTTATTAAAGCACTATCACTTCCTGTTCTGGTGGTGTCAACTCACAACACATTTATTTATAAGAGTAACCGTTAGGCTTTGCGAGAATGGCTAAAAATACATGTGCGTATACAGTAATCAGACGTGTTTTCTTTCTGTTTTCTACCTAAAGGGGTTATTAAGGAATGCAAAGAATGTTCGAGCTGAAACTGGTTTAAGCTGATTGGCTCCATTCAAACTGATGGTTGATTGATGCCTGGCAGGACTATGGATCACTCTGACAGAATGATTGAACACCACAAATACATAAATGTGCTTTGAATTTTGAGTAAGGGTTTGCTTGAAATTTAAACATCAACAGAAAAAAAAAACGTTGAGCTGCCAAAACAAATTCAGTTGTGCACATTAGTCACATTGTGTTTGGGTTTTGTTATAACGTATCAAGTACAAAAAATCTTTTCTGTTTGAGCTATTTTCTTTAAATAAACGAGTTGGATAATGTTTGAAGCACCTGCCTGTGGAGCACATTGTATTTGAGCTGTGAGCTCAAAATGAGTCCACATCTGTTTAAAAACACTGAAAATTTAACACTGTTATGAATAAGATAAGCTGATTTTATAAATATTCCTTTAATGCTAGATGGGACAGTTTGTCCATTTACAGAATCAGGTTTCTCAGTCAAAAGGTAATGCCCGAAGTTTGCGAAACAAAATCCAATTTTTTTTATCAAAAGATTTGTTAAGAGATCATGAAAGAAAGAAAAACCATTGTGCTTCTGCAGTGCGTCCACTTTTCTGAACAATGCAAAGAGAAACATATGAGACAAACATCGATTTGTGTTTTTGCTAAGAGCCCCACGGCTCTGTTGCTCTTCTTAACGCCATCCAAGTTGCATTGTCCCGCACTCGCACAATCGCAGTGAGTCATCTTCACTTTTCGCCCAAGATTTCTTCTAATCTTTTTGAAGTCTCCCTGTATCTTTCCTCGCTGAGTGGGAGGCTTGTTTGCTCAGCGTACACTCAGCTGTGTGTAAGAGCGCTGAAGGCCACTTCTTCGCAAATGCCTGTTTTAGTGGGAGACTATTTGTCAAATGCATTATGACTTGTGCATACCCCCGGGCAGAATCACTCCGGTGAAATGAAGTTGGATAGATTACTGTAGATGTTCCACTTTCTCTTCATCCCTCTCCCCTCTAATTGCACGGTGCCCAAGAGAGAGCCTCTCATGTAATTATACTGCAGTTATTCTGTAGGTTTATAATCTAATGGTTTGCAGATGTTATTCTTTACATAGCTGCCATCTGTTCCAACTTACTACATGTTATTTATATACTTTTGCTCGAGTGTTTTGTGAAGGACTCCATCAATGGGTTCATGTGCAATGCATGCGAAATTGTTGAAATGCAATAAATTTAAGAAATGAGTTTAACCGACATGTATACATTGTTTTTGATTTAATGTGCATCAGCGTTAAAAGAAGCAGCAGACGTATGTCCACTCAAATAGCAATGACGACCCTTCCTCAAGTGGTTCGCACAGTTTCAAATGTTCTCCAAATCACTGTGTTAGTCACAGCATACTTCAAAGTATAGGCAAGCAAAAAAAATAAATAAAAAATCTCCATCCTGAATTTTCAAAATGTGATTTTTTTCCTCCTTTTTGAAATGTGACTGTAATAGAAACAGAAAGAGAAATGTTATTCCAGTGGTACCTCGTTCTGTACGCACACAGAAGTTAATTACACGGAGGCAAGCATTCTTGGGTCTACAGCGTGGACTTCGGGTTTTTCATTGTGCCCATTCAGAACATTCTGCTGACTGGCCAGTCCGAGTTGCAGTATCCCAACTGTTCTCGCTGTGAAAATGTTAACCCATGCATGGCTCAAATGCACACCAAATGCAGCCTGAGTGGCTGGAACTGATGGGAACTCCTCAAAAATGTGAGTTTATTGTTCTTATCCAGTTCCGGGCAGTTAACTCAGAACAAAAAACAAAACAAAAAAAAAACATTGAAAGGAGTCATGAGATGGATATTTTATTTCTATTTTAAAAGCTTTATGTTTACAAGTGCACTTTGTGATTTTTTTTTATTTATTTTTTTGGTCTACCCACTTCCTGGCACTATTTGTAATCAAGTCTCTCGGTCTCTACACTTCTCCCCCTCTCTCTGTGTCAAACTTCTTTTCTCATTTACCTTCCCAGCAGCAATGTCAAAAGGTTATGCAGGGAAGCTGGATCGCCTGGGGCTGATTGTGTCTCTCAGTTAATGATAAGTAGCTACAGTGCTATTCTCTGGAGCAGTGGGGCTTAGATTGTGTTTGGTGCACACAGTCCATTACAGTAAGAGGAAAACGGGCTATTTATCAGGATTCTGTTTTTGAATGCAAGAGAGATGCATTTTTCTTTAGTTAAAATGAAATGAGTTGTTAGAGTCATGCAGAACTTTGCCTTTCTTACAATTAATTTTTGTTTGTTTATATCTATATTACTGCATTGTACATCAGTTATAATGTAACTTTCATTCTATTTTTTATAGCCTAGATTTTACTAGGCTATTTTGAATGCATTGATAGCCATCTAGTATAAATGTTCACCATACTGTAGGTATTTATCAATGTGGACTTGAGTTTAACCTGACAGCAAACGTGGTAAACCAAACTGCTGTAGTTCCATTTCTTGCTCTGCACTTTGTAATCTAGATCAGATAGATGACTCAGAGCTGCTCGAGGTGTGAAAAGTCATAAGTCACGGATTGCTGAAAATAGATTCTATGGTTTACCTTGCATGGCTTGTTAATTAATCACCAAAGTCCATATGGGCTATTTATGTCCATGCTGATTGATTATGAGAACTGAATCATGACAACACGATCTAAAATTTCTCAAGTTTTGTGATG